GCGATGTCCGTAGAGAGCATGCGCGACTTGGCGGAGAGAAGGCCACTGCACAACCACCGCGCGCGGCTTCGTCGCCCCCTCCTCGTCCTCATCGTCGTCCGCCTCCGTTGCCTCCCCCGCCTTTGTCTTCCTTGCTGTCTCCCCCCTCCGTCCTGGGCTCTCCTCCCCGTTTTTCTCCTCCTCCTCCTCTTCCTCCTCCTCCTCATCATCATCATCATCATCATCACAAGCATCATCCTCCTCCTGCACTCCCTTCTGGCTTCGACCAGCCCAGCAGCGGGACCCAATCTGGATAGCGTAGCTCACTACCATGTCGATGTTTCTTCATGCCCTCTCATGTTGAGGGGCGGCCCGCCACTCTGTATCATGCCACCCCTGGTCGCGGGCAGCTTCAGCCCGTTGGGGGCCCACACCGAGGATCGAATTGAGGAGATCAGCCGCAGGACTTCGTCGTCCGACGTGCTGGCCACGGTCGGCACGACAAAGAGAAGCGGCTGCGGCAGGCGCCCCGCAAAGGCGCCGCCAGGTCCGCAGGCCACTGTCTGAACTTGCTCGAGCTGTAGCTTAAGTCGGGCCTGTCCTTCTACAGGAGGAATATTCAAACATAGTTTGTTTTATAATAAAAACAGTTTTTTATATAAAAAACAATGTTTTGACTAGTTTTAAAAATGTTGGGAATATTTCTGAATATGTTCAATTTTTCGCCCAAAATCCCCGTGTAGGGGGACACCCCCGACTTAACTGTAGCTGAAGTTGGATACCGAGTGCAGTCACCCGCATAGTCAGGATGAACGGTTTTCTAAGGTTACCCTTGCATCTCTCCCCTTCGGCCCGTTCTTGGCCGCGCCCCGTCCGCAAAGAGTCGCCATGGCCTTCCGAAGCCCTGGCATCCTTACCGGGCGCCCTTGGTACACAGTTCTACTGTAGTTGAGGCTGGATGTCGGGTGAGCCCCCAAGTCGCCAGCTACTGCGGGTGTTCAGTTGTCCTGTGCAAGGGGATTCCCATGTCGATTGTGTTGCCGTCCCCCCTGTTAAACTCCAGGGTCGCGGTTTTCTAGCTCGGATGAAGAATGGATTCGGGAATTCTACGCGCATTGGTTGTTACTGCCCTCCACGACCGCGTGAACTTGCGGCAACTGGTGGCGATCGTCAAACTTGTGATAAACTCATTTGGCGGGTTGTCGCCCAGTTGTGCGCGTTGCCTGTCGGGACGAGACCTGTCCGAGGAATGGTTCCCAGGGGGATGTACTCGCGAATCGTAATTTGTGCGCGATAACTGTGTTCGTGGGCGCGCACCCACCTTCCATGGCATGACGTGAGGAAGTTGTACGATTCGCTACATGTGTCTGCAAAGCCCGCTGGGTCAGCTGATGTTTCGCAGCAGTCCGCTACGGCGCGTCAGTCGTGGGATGCTGATCGCCCCCACGGTTAAACCCGAGTATCACTGCGCCCTCATGGTCAACGTGGTGTGTACCCAACCCGACATTTCTCCTACGACTGTTCGTGCTAAACCGCTGGCATGGGGCAGAGGTCTTAGCATGGTATGCCTTTACCGCGGAGGGCGGCGTGCTGACTTCGTGCGTAATACTCACAGCCGGTTGGGGATTGGCGAACATGCGTTCACGGCCTTCTTGGCTAAACCAATTGCAGATGGGGAGTTCGAGGTTATTCATCAGTTGCATGTGGATGCGGAGCGCGGTGTGTTCATCCGCAGCGTTACAGTACAACGGAAGGCAGATTGATCTGAGCGTGAACGACTGTTGGGACAAAGGCAACAACCCCGATTCCTGTTTCCCGAATTTGCACCTGAGTCTGCGGTGCAGGTGCACAGTAGGCTTCGAGGTGGTTCGCCATTACATCGGCTTTCGCCAGAAGGCCGGGGGGGCGCGGAGCGGGTTGTCCTCGAGGATGTGCGAGAACAGTGGCGTCACCGTCGTCTAGCTGAGGCCGCGCGCATGGCTTGTCGGGCGGCTGGGCCCCGATTTGGTCCGAAACGTGAGGGCTGTGCTTCTTCAAGAGGATTTGTCAAAGATTCGGTTGCTCTGACTCAGACTTTCTCGTTGCCAGGCCCCCAATAACAGCGGCAGTGCCAGTGGATGGCGGGTCTGAATGGCGCGCGCAGTAGAGGCCCCGCGCGCCGCCGAGCTTCGAACCCCTTCGGACGGACGGGGAGAAACGCAGTGGACTCGTCTCTTGGATCCTGGACACCCTGGGGGAAACGTGGACTTCTGGGGCGGTCGCCCAACAGTGCCAGGCGCAGGGCGCTGATCCGGATTGCGTTTCTCCGCGCCGTCGCCGCAGGGAGCGCGCGCTCACGGCCGAGGCGGTCAGGGCTCAACGATTGCATCGCAATGGCTGCGCGTCCCTGGCAAACGCGCACGATCTCATTAATGCGCCCGCTGCAGCACGCGGCTTCACACGGAGCTGGCCGTCGGAGATTTCCGCCCAGATCTCTTTCGAAGCATGGGCGCCGGCGCTGCCGGAGCGCAGCGACATCCACGAGGGGCGCGATGAGGGCGCCCATCTTGCACCGAGGAGCGGAGGACTCACGCGGGGGGGGCGGGCGAGCGCGCGGCCCGCGTCCCCGCGCGAAGTTTCGTTCCGCCTGCGCAGCGGCAGCTTGATGCCCATCGCGCGTTCGACGCGCGCGCAGATGCCCCCCGCGCTCGGCTGCCCGTCGTTCGCGACGGGCGCACCCCGCTGAGAGGCGAGCCCGCGCGCGTTTCCCTGGCGAACGACGCCGACGACCCCGCCAAGAAGCTCGCGCGCCCCCGACGGGCTGACCCCCATGAGGCTGCAAGTTGCAGCCGGCAGTCGAACGTCGCGCTGGGCGACGGCCGCGCGGGAGCCCGCCTCTCCCGGGATCTCGCGGAGCAAGATGCCAGTGCCTTGTTGCGCGTTCCGGGGGTGGGATCTGCCCGCAGCATTCGGGAAGTGCGGCCCGGGTGCCCGGCGCGCCCTGTCGGGGTCGCCTGGAGCGCGGAGAGTCCGCGGGCCTGGGTGTCTAGCCCACCAGCGACGGGAACGAGATCTAATTCCGCATTGGCGTTGTTCGTCCAGCGCGGCATGAGGTGGGCGGCTTTTTGTCTGGACTCGCCGAAGCGCCCCTTATCGCTGGCGTACCAGGCCACTCTTGCGCGGCCTGGTCCATTGCAAGAATATGGATGCGGATCTTATCTAAAGCGCGCGCTAAAGAGCCCATCGCAATGGATTTGGCCCCGTTCACGGCCGAGGTCTGCGCGCCGGCGTCAAGGCGCCGTATTTTTCGGAGCCCCGAGAACCGAGCGTCGTCGGGCCTGCGGGGGGCCAGGCCCATCGTGGAATTCAGGGGGGGGCCAAGGTTTTCCAGGTCTCCTCTACATGCGCCAGCATGAGGACTTGCACGAGAAACCCATCACGGTCTCACCAACATCTCGGCCCTTTCGGGGCTGGAAGCCAAGTGCTCTGGGGATCATGATCACCGCGTTCTTGAGGGTCAAGAGCGAGACTCGGGTCTTGATGGGGTCTGGCGTCATCAGTGCAAGACGAAAGCAGTCGGCACTTATCCGTTTGTTTTTGTGTTCAGAGTGGGCGCCGCTCACGTTTCGCATTCACCATCGGCAGCCAGAGGTCCCCAGCCTGACCTGCACGACCGATGCGATGAAGCCCTTGTGGCGCTCGTCGGACGCCGACGAACTTGCCCGGGCTCGAGTCAAGCTGAGAGGGAGTCCGATCGGGGCCACCGCGACCTTGAACGCGCTGAAAACAACATCTTCAAGAACGGCCCCCGCTTCAGCCGCCGCCAGCGGGCCTGGGCCGCGGCGCCAGAAGGCGAGACGCAGGCAGCAGATTGCGTCTCGCTCAACGGCCACGCCTGATCGATTTCTCCAGGAGAGCACGGTTGGTGAGAAGGCTAAGGACATGCATCAGAGGGAGTTGAACCGTTTCTACGACTGGGCCGATCAGAATAGCCGTGGCACGTGCGAAGGTAGCCTCGCGATTTCCATGAACAAATGCGCGCCTTCCACATGTGCCAGCTGGGATGCGGGCCCAGCGCGGCGCGCGCCGTCTTCTTCGGCCACCCCCTGCTGTGCTCGACGAATTACAGGCTCGAGCGGAGCTGGCTCGGGGACGTCGAGCGGGCGCTGGCCGGCCGGGGCAAGCGGCCTCGCGAGGTCGCACAGGGCCCCGCGCCGCAAGAAGTCTTGCTGAGGTATGGGTCTGCGGTCTCTTGTATACGCGTCGAGGTGTCGTGGGGAACCCCAAGAGGGCCTCTAGGAGGCGGTTTGGGTTCCTCTTGAGGGTACTTTGTAAAGGATTGTGGCCTCGGGGGCGCAGAGAGTCCGCGCATCACGAGGGATTGCGGCCTCGCGGGCGCGAATATTATGTCATGCGCGAGGGTTATGCTTTCGACGACGAACAGATTGCCTAATGTCCGAAACGGGGTCTTGAACATTGTGTAAGTTTCGAGGGCGCGCGGCGTCGGGGGCGCGAGAATTGTGCGAGTTGCGAACATAATGGCCTCGGGAGCGCGAAAACTCTGTAATCCACATGGGTTTGTGGCCTCGGGGACGCGAGCAGTGTGCAATATGCAAAGGATGATGGCCTCGGCGGCGCGAACGTCGCATAGATTACGAGGGTTCGTGGCTTCGGGGGCGCGAGTGTTGAAGAATTCAGAACCAAACAATCGGGGGCGCGACGGCAAGTTAATTTACAATGGTTCATGGCTTCGGGGACGCGAGCACGGCGTATTTTACGAGGCTTCATGGCTTCGGGGCGCGATTTCAACGCATTTCCACGCGCCCCGCGCCCCCGCGGGAATTCTGGGAACCCTGGGGGGGGGGGGGGGCGCTAACCAGGCTGCTTTTCGGTTCCCCCCCTCGCGCGGACTTCAACAATCCACCGTGGACAGTGGACACTGGAATTGGTGCACGGAGCAGCAAGCTAACCTTCGCAGCCTACTGGCCCCGCAAGGGGGCTGGCGGACTCGAGCGGCCGGATGGTTGTTGCCTTTACTTGTTCGTTGACCTTGGGCGGGTTGCAGAATTCTATAGCATCGAGT